GATGAAATCCTGGACAAGTTGCAGGTCACTCTATGTGAAATATTTAATTTAAATGCCAATAGAATGTTGTACACATGCTACATTTGGATAACCAGCATTCTTAAAATTGGAATGTTTTGAAACATCCATACTTTGAGTGCCCCATCTAGGCTATAGGACCCACGTTGGGAAAAATACTATGTACTGTACATTTAGGGCGGTTCTCGGACAATATGAAGCCATTAAAATAGTGCATTTTTAAGTAATTACTTTGGATAAACAAACAACAGCATTCTTAAAATTGGAATAATGTTTTGAAACATCCACACTTTGGAGTTCCCCATGTCTAGGCTATAGGATCCATGTTGGGAAAATATGTCTTTAAGGCGGTTACATTGTTTCCGATTAAACCGTAGACATTTTACAGGTCACCGCAATAAAGCATATAATTTAAAAGCAATTAGAATGTTATGTCAGCACACTAATACCTGTAATTAAATTGGATAACCAAATGACAGCATTCTGAAAACTTGAATAATGTTTTGAAACATTCACACTTTAAGTGCCCTATGTAGGCTATAGGATCCATGTTGGGAAAATATGTCTTTAAGGCGGTTACATTGTTTCCGATTAAACCGTAGACATTTTACAGGTCACCGCAATAAAGCATATAATTTAAAAGCAATTAGAATGTTATGTCAGCACACTAATACCTGTAATTAAATTGGATAACCAAATGACAGCATTCTGAAAACTAGAATGTCTTGAAACCTTCACACTTTAAGTGCAATATATGGGCTATAGGATCCATGTTGGGAAAAATACTACATGGACGCATCTTACTCTGGAAGACTCTTCAAGACTAACCTGTGAACTAAATACTGTCCTTTACCATTTCAACATCACTTTATGGGCTCATTTGGTGATCATAAATAGGTGTGTTGAACAATAACGTGCTATAGCGTAATCATTCGAGTTCTTGAATGGTTTGATGCGGTCTCTGTGTGGTTTATACGGATTGTGAATGTTGACTGGAGTGAAATGTGTGAGGAGCTGGGACTCCTGGAATATCCTCATTCTATAGTGCTCAACTGGATGCATTTGGAAACGGGAAATAATCGCCTCGGGTCACTAGAGAGGTGTTATTAAAGATGAAAAAAGAGCGAACAAATGCATCACACGACGACCGCGGATATTAACGTTGCATATTTTTATAGGCGCATATGCGAACGCAAGCAAAAATGGAAACATTTTTCTACATCCTTATAAGGTAGCTCGCCACTTTTTTTATTTTTAACGAAAGGTTGTTTAATAAAACATGCTGGGGTTCTGCTAGTCTTATCTCCAACCAGAAACCGGTTGCCAACGATTGCATCATTCCTTTCATGTGACTCCCTTACGCCCCAAATTCGTCCTGGCCGTCTTATGACTGCATCACATCTTCAAACTCTCGCGGAGCGAGACAACCAGCAAAGTCATCAAGTCCCGCCCCTCCCGCCTAGCGCGGCTGCTGATTGGATGTCTCTAAGCAGAAGAATTCCGACCGCCTCGCGCGATTGGTCCAAGCTACCGACCATCTCCTGTCAATTTCCCATAATCTCAATTAGGTTGCACCTTGAGATCCTCCCCCCAGAGTTCGGTTGGAGTCACTCTATAAATGTTCCCGGGAGTTTCCGAAATCCACACTCGGTGACTTCAACTGAACAATGGTTAACATGAGCTATCGCCAATCTCTACAAAAACACGCACAGACCCTGAATCCGAAACAGCCGAGGAAAAGAAATAATAAAAAGAAAAGGGTGAGTGTCATCTCTATTCTTTATTGTGTTCTGTTGTACTTTTCTTGCTGGTGTATGTCAAGCTTTTCCTTTTGGAAATCGGGAAGGCGCATGTTTTGGCGACTATCCCGAGCTGTTTTTGGAATACAGTTGCTCAACTCAAATTTCACAGGATTTTTTTTCCTTTTTTGCCGTCCGTTTTCTGTATTATAACGCAACAGTGTTGCGCTTTTTGTTCATGTTTAATAATATTTACTTTAGAGTTACTTGCTTCGAAAACTACGCGATGACAGCTGTCAGTTCCGCACAACCGCGGCAAAACTTTTTTAGCGAACGTTTGATTTTTAACGGTTTTTGTTACATCGATCGCCAGTAGCGCTTCGTCAGCGGAGCTCAACTTTGTACACTTCAAGAAACCGAACGGATGCGGTGATAATGGACGACCCGTCGCGTTTTTACATCGCTAAAGTACTTTAAACGCGTTATTTCGGCGCGGAGCGATCGCCCTTTGTTTCCTCACTCCTGTACTTTGATTCCATGACGTCATTGGCTCGCTGTCAGTTTAATAAAGCGTCGCTCCAGCTGGACGCAATTACCGTGGTTTATTAAAGAAAATTCATTTAAACTATTTAAGTGACATAAGAAGTCAATTCGCGTTCAATTTAATGACTGTCTAGTCGTTTTAAAATAATCGATTTACATTTTAGTCGCCGTTGGAGTAAAGCTAGACAACAGCAAATAAACAGCACAACGTTTTTAAATGATTTATTAATAGATTAATAATAGAAAAAAAAACTTTTTAGTTAAATCGTTTCACTCCGCGTTATGATCTATGTTTAAAAAAATTATAAAACATGGGTGTGCCTCAGGTGTTTATGTTAGGGCTGTTTTCATTCTCACACGGACATCTAAAGTAGCTTGTCGTTCTCTGATCGTATTTATAACTCAGGAATTAGTTCTGCGATGTTTAATTTTTTTTACCTGAACGTGAATGTCTTCGCATTGTTGAGATTGAGAGTCATTGGGTTGTTTTGACAGACGCCGTGTGCGCGCACGCAGACTCACGCAGGGGGCGCCATCGAGCTCACAATGCGCCTTTGTTTACATAAAAAAAAAACACAATGACCTAATTTTAGATTAAAGATTAAACAATCAGTAATCGCTATGGGTCATTCTATGAAACATTTTTTCACTTTTTAATGATCCCGAATTCCTCTCTTGTTTTTTCCATTGTGCTTTCTGGCTCATGTTTGTTTCTCAGCTGAAATGTTTTGTGTGAGAATTATTTTTATTTTATTTTTAAATAGTTTTGCAACCATGACCTGTGGCTTGAGCTCTTCCATGTTTTATTTCTCTAGAATCATTGGGACAATTTACCGCCAACAACTCACATTCAAACTTGATTGACAAGAGACACTTTTGAGGTGAGCATTTTTATAGCATTCATCAATGTTTTTATTTAAATACTTATTTAATAACTAAACTAAATGGTTAAAAAAAACAACACTAAACATACACACACACACGTATATATACATCCATATACACACACACACACACACGTATATATACATCCATATACACACACACACACACACATATATATATATATATATATACACACACACACGCACATATATATACACACACGCACATATATATACACACACGCACGCAATATATATATATATACACACACACACGCACATATATATATATATATATATACACACACACACGCACATATATATATATATATATATACACACACACACGCACATATATATATATATATATATACACACACACACGCACATATATATATATATATATATACACACACACACGCGTCCCCCGGGAAGAAGAGCCGACGGGAGCGTGAGCATGAGAACGAGAGGAAGGTGCAGGAGCTGACGGATCAGAACGAGCGGCTCAAAGCCGAGATCGAGCGGCTGGGAGAGGAGGTGCAGCGGACGCGACGGGCGCTCATCGAGAGACTCGTCAACACCAGGAGGTGAAGGAGCGACAGGAGGAGCCCAGGGGCCGAAGGGATTGGCGCTGACCGTGAAATGCACGTTTAGAGGGAGATCAAAGACACGTGGGACAGAGAGGAGGTTCGCTGAGCGCGAGAGAGAACGAGAAAGTCAGATTGAGACGTAGAAAAGAAAGAGTGTGGAGCCCAACGGAAACCCGGAGCAAACTCGGCCCGAATACAAAGCACAGAAGAAATTCGGTTTTCGTTAAGAAAATAAATGAAGATTTGTTTAGATCAGCGTGATGCATTTAAATCGACATCATTTAAAGGCAAATGCTACAACGTATGAATAATACGATTTAACAAATGAAAAATAAAGTGAAGAATGAGCAATTAAATATACCAATTAAAAAAAGTATTTTTCATAAAGAAAATGAAGCAGAATTCTAACTATTTTTTTGCAGTAAGTTAAAAATGACTCGTGCAAATTTTTTTTTAAACATTAAAATCTGCATAAAGGCAAATACTACAATGTATGAATATTGCAATTTGACAAATTACAAATCAATTGAACAACGAGCAATAAAAATACCAAAAACTAATAAAAAAAGATTTAGCATGAAGCGTAATTTTGAAGTTTTTCTCAAGCAAATTAAAATCACTAATGCAATTTTTTTTAAACATTAAAATCTGCATAAAGGCAAATACTACAATGTATAAATATTACAATTTGACAAATTACAAATCAATTGAAGAATGAGCAATAAAAATATCAAAAACTAATATTTTGCATGAAACAATTAATTAAGATTTAGAATTTTTCTGAAGCAAATTAAAATAACTAATGCAATTTTTTTAAACCTTAAAATCAGCATAAAGGCAAATACTACATTGTTGTATAAATGTAACAATTGAACAATGACGTGGAAATTATGAATGGATGTCCGTAGCGATTTTGCTCTCACGTTCTTCTCTTGAAACTTTTCCAGAATTTTTAGAGCTAGCAGTTTATAACATACTCTCTGCCTCATGCCTATTTTTCTATACGTGTATCCCATAATTATCACGACATGCCATCATTTACCTTGTATTTTAGTTTCCTAATCTTCCAGTAAACATGCATGCCGAATTACTGTATTAGAGTAGAAACATTTTTATCTGAATTTGATTTAGCCTTACTTAATACGGGATTGTATTACACTCATTTTGTTATTAAAATCTTAAAATGAACCGAGTCTTTGAGATGTTTTTTTTTTTGTCTTTGTGTTTATTGATTGTGTGAATAAAATATGGTTGTTTCGGAGTAACAAGAAACAGTGAGAAACACATTGATTTTATTGCATTTTAAAAAGATCATTTAACAGACTTCATTGCGTTTTAAAAAGGATAGTTTGTATTTTTATGGGAGTGGATGAATAGTGCAGTAAGCCCTGAAAATATTCCTGTATGATGGATTTTTGATTTTTTCTCCTCATGATCACCTTTTTATTTCTTCTTTCGTTTCTGAGCGGCCGGCTCCGGGTTCTTGCCCTCCGCTAGAGAAAGTTGTTTTTTCAGGTCCAGTAATGCCTCGACTGCCTCGTCAATAACAGACTGCTCAGCTTTCTGAGCTTTTAGGCCTCGTACTTTATTGCCCTGAAACACAAACGCACAGCGATGAATCACAAACCAGCACGACTAACCGTTAGACACGAGCGGAATCAAAATATCTCACCTTCATTTAACTCAACACTTTAAAGGCTTTAATAAAATGAGAAAATATTCTGAAAATATTCATCACAATGTCAGTATGTGCTCGGGTCACGGCGCTGTAAAAATATGGAAACAAAATTACTAAAGAATTCACTAAAATGAGAGAAATTAATTTTAATAAAATGTCTCAATGTCAGTGTGTTCTCAGGTTAAAAAAACAGAAATATATATATATATGTTTTTTGGACAAAAAGGCAGCATACGGACGCTTGAACCATCCACTAGTATATTATATTACACTGAAAAGCCAAGAACAAATGTATAAACAGTTTTTTCAGTATATTTATTTGACATATCATGACCCTGGAGCACAAAAGCAGTCTTAAGTCGCTGGGGTATATTTGTAGCAATAGCCAACAATACATTGTATGGGTCAAAATTATAGATTTTTCTTTTATGCCAAAAATCATTAGGATATTAAATAAAGATCATGTTCCATGAAGTTATTTAGTAAATTTCCTACCGTAAATATATCAAAACTTAATTTCTGATTAGTAATATGCATTGCTAAGAACTTCATTCGTACAGCTTTAAAGGCGATTGTCTCAATATTTAGATTTTTTTTGCACCCTCAGATTCCAGATATTCAAATAGTTGTATCTCGACCAAATATTGTCCTACAGTCCTTACAAAATGTTTTCACATCCTTTGATGTAAGCTCTGACATTCACTTATTACAGTGTCTGTGTCTCCGCCAGACATACTTTCTCCGTCTGGCATAGCCGTAAAAGTAATTATGCGTGCGTTTGTGTGAGAGAGGTGTGTGTGTGTGTGTGTGTGTGTGTGTGTGTGTGAGTGTGTGTGTTCATACTTGTTCTGCCACTAAAGCCGTCAGCTGTTTGGCTCTCTCTGGATCTGCGTTTACATTCACGGAGGCGTTCTGCGCCGCACCAGCGCTGGGTTTGGTCTCGACTCGAGTCTAGAAATAGAAAAAAAAAATTTTTTTTTTTTCAAATAGTGGATCATGTGTGCATTTAAAAAAAAATAAAATAAAGGAAATCAATTAAAGCCACAAAAATTATACATGCATTTGTTTTTCATGTGTTTTAATTAGAAACATAATTTAACAATTATATGGCATAATTTAATTATTAATAAAAAGTAAAAACAAACCAAAACATGCATTTAGTGCATGCATCTTGAAAATATAATATAATAATTATAGGAAATATTTTAACTACTAACAAAAACACATGCATTATTATGTATCTTGAAAATATAATTTAATAATTATAGGAAATATTTTAACTACTAACAAAAATACATGCATTTTTTTTATCTTAAATATAATGTAATTGGGTCAAAGACATTAAGATGTCCGCATTCAAAAGAAATTTACAAAAGTGATTTTATGTCCATAGAAAGCACATTAAATGTAAGTAAAGTGTCTACTTTTAAGGTTTCAAATACGTTTTTGGAGAATAAAATGTCAACATTTGGTTGAAATAATGTTACATTGTCATTCAGTGTAACACAATATTTATGTAAAAATTCAAACAACATGCTTATTCTGACGTGTACATATTAAAATGTATAAAAGAATAAGTGAGCATATTCAATTTGATTGTTTTAAATGAGTAAAAATTATTACTGACAAATGGGCAAAATCTAGGATAGTGGCAAATTAAAAAAATTTAAAATTACAACTAATTAGTATTTGGGGTGAAAGTAATTAGTCTTTTAATATGTCACAAATTGATTTTTGTTGTAAATATGCCTGACGAGATTGTTACACTGAATGACATTTTAGTGGGCATCTTCTGTAAATCAGGGGAAAATGTATGATATTTATTTTTTGCTCAGAAAA